GCGGGCAGCCCCGCACCCGCTGGTGGCCTCGGCGTGTCTCCGGGGAAACCCCCTCTTGCCCGAGGAAATGACACGGAACACGGACCGAGGCGACGTTCCTCCTTTGTTCTTTCCACCTTCACGTGGGGTTGACCATGACGTGGAAATGAGTAAATTAAAACTCTCTGTAATGCGTAAGTGGGATTGTCAGTGGCGGAAGTAAGTAAAAGCTAACGCTACCCCACTTTAATTTTTTTCAAGATCCTGCCGCTTAAAAGAAGAAAAGGATAGTGGAGGATCTGTACACCTGCAAGTCATTAATGAGCTTAATTGTTCCATTAAAAGTTTTCTGCAGCGCTTATTTTATAAAGATGTCCAGATATTTTACAACGTTTTTGAATTTGTTATAAAAATGTTATATATTTTCCTTTGTGTCCTGTGGCTTAACTCATTCATTTTTTAAAATATATTTTTATTGATTTCAGAGAGGAAGGGAGAGAGAGACAGAAGCATCAATGATGAAATAAAATGGATCGGCTGCTTCCTGCACGCCCCACACTGGGGATCGAGCCCGCACCCGGCATGTGCCCTGACCAGGAATCGAACCTCGACCCTCTGGCTCATCGGTCGCAGCTCAACCACTGAGCCACACTGGTCAGGCTAACATACATTCTTTAAAGTTTTTATTGATTGATTGGTTTTAGAGAGAGAGGAAGGGAGGGAGAGGGAAACATCGATTTGTTGTTCCACGTATGCATTCATTGGTTGATTCTTTTTTTATTTTTAATATATTTTTTTATTGATTTCAGAGAGGAAGGGAGAGAGAGATGTTGTAATGTACCCCATCAATCACAGAAGGACGCCTCAAGAAGTCGAATTAAAGAGTCGCATTTATTGCAATCCGGGACTATGAGGGGCCATTCCCAAATCTCATAGTAATAAGATGGTGGCAAAACCAGACTTATATAGGCAAAAATCACAAAGGTATTGATTACATCCCAGGGTTTGGAATGAGGACCCTGGTTTGCACAAAGCAGTTACAGAAGCGAGATTGAGCCGATTAGTTATCTACAAAGATTAATTATAGTTTTGGGTCTTTGGACCACTGAGTTGACAGAAACACATTATCTAGAGCCCTCGGGTCTTGGGACCACTGAGTTGACAGGGAAATATTATCTGGAACCCTCAGGTCTTGGGATAATTGTGCTGTCCTGGTTCCCAGGTACAGAGGAATTTGCTTTCTAAAACCAGTAAGATCCCAATCAATGGGATAGTCACGTTACAATCAATAAGGCATTCAAGCGAATGGGATGATTTATACAATTCAGAAAATCAAAATAACTTTTCTATTGTTAAGCCAAACAGCAATGTTAGAGTTAAACTACAGTTTCTACTTGAGATGATTGCTACCATACTTCAGAGGCACCTACTGGCCTGCGTGTGCCCTGCTGGTTTCTAACCCCACTCTTTTCTGGGTCTCCCCTGCCATGTTTCAGCAACCTCACATTTTAGCTCTGTGGTGTTTTACAACACCTTCTATACGTACAGTTGGCCCTTGAGTAACGTGGGTTTGAGCTGCAAGGTCCACTTACACATACATATTTTTTTCAATTGACCTTCTCAGTTCAAACCCACTTGTTCAAGGGTCAACTGGCAGTTTAGAATCCCTGTCTGCAGAGTGCCCACGTGAATTATACGTGGGTTTTGTACTGCACTAGCAGTTGGCGCCCCTAACTTCTGTGTTAGTCAAGGCTCATCTGTATATCAAGCCTGCAACCCAGGCATGTGCCCTTGACCGGAATCGAACCCTGGACAAGGTTTCCTTACACCAGTGGTCGCCAGCCTTTCAGACTTCACGGACCACTGGTTGGCGACCGCTGTAAGTTTAGCCCATAGGCCGATGCTCTATCCACTGAGTCAAACCGGCTAGGGCTGATTTTCTTTTTAAGGTTTTTATTGATTTTCAGAGAGCGAGGAAGGGAGAGAAACATTGATGAGAGAGAAACATCATTGATTGGCTGCCTCTGCACACCCACTACTGGGGATCAAGCCTGCAACCAGGGCATATGCCCTGACTGGGAATCAACCAGCAACCTCTTGGTTTATGGGTGGATGCTCAACCACTGAGCCACAGGAGCCGGCCCACTGGTTGATTCTTGTCTGTGCCCTGACCAGGGATCCAACCCGAACCTTGGCATTATTGGGAAAGAAAATGCTCCAACCAACTGAGCTGCCCGGCAGGGATAGCTCATTCCTTTTTGATGACTAGGAGAAAACACAAGGGAACAAGAGTCATTCCCTTTTTACATTTAGAAAAATGAAACATAAGTAGGGTGACAACGAGTCATACAACAGCTAAAGGAGAAGAGATGAAATGACCCAAATTCAACTCCTGAGGATTTAAAGATTTCCTCCTATCAGGGTCTAAAACTGCCCCTGGTACTAAGACATCAAGTGTAAATGTACCTGACCCCC